TATTAACAATTATGTTGGACATTTATCACAATGACTTTGGTATATTCCGTAACATGTATCATTCCTTGGGTGGAATTTATCTTCAATTCTGCAATATGCCTTTACGGCTAAGAAAACAATTAAAGAATTATTTCGGTTTGGGTTTTGTTCTGTTTGGAGGGGAGTTTAATGATGTAATAAACCTGATTACAGATGAAATTAAAATTTTAGAAAAAGGTACTTTGATAAATATTTCGGGTTAACAAATATGGATAGTAGCTGCTTTGGGTATTATAACTGCTGATCTCCCTCAGGGCAATGATCTTGCGGATACGAAACGTCATAGTGGTAATCAAGGATGTATGAGTTGTTTAGCACCTAAAGAACAATTAAGTGATCTTTCTTTTGATATTAAGTTAAATGCAAGATATTATCATATAACAAATAAAAAAATCAATAAATTAAAAGAATTGATACAAAGAGGGGCACCGCAAAAAATGGTTAATGATTACTGTACAGAGCATGGTTTAACTGAACGCCCAAGTATTTTGAATCAACTAACACAGAATCAGCATTTACAAACACCCCAGGATGCGTACTATACTGTAGCTGGAAAAATACAAAGGCTAATGGACCGTACTTTTTTAATATTAAATCAAAGAGGAAAATGCACTTTTTTAAATTATTGGAAAATCTTTGAGTTACTATCTGGCTGGTACCGTCTCCCTAACCCAATCAAACACCTTAACAGTTTCATGTTTTCTAACTGTTTGTGATTTGCAATGATAATGCCATTCTTATTGTGAAGGTTTTTAACAATATCATGTATCAAAGATACTGATTTGGCTTTGTTGCAAAGGCAACTTACAATATCAACAAACATGCGATTAAAGATGCTATCGTCTACACTAATTGTGAATGAAATCATTTCTTGCTGGGTAGCCATCACGAAAGCATCACGCTTAAGTTTCAGCTTTACATTTACTAACCAAACATATATAGAACTAGATGAAGCTCTAAAAATTGAGCATATTTTCTTACTGAATGTGAGTACTGTTTCTTGTAATATGTACTGTATGTATGTACATATGTATGTATATGCGTATGTGGGTTTTAATTTTTTTACATATTAGCATAGGAGACTGTCGATGATATTTAGCTAACCTAAATTAGGATTTACTTATACAAATCCTTAAAAATTCAAGAGACTTTTAACAATAATAAGAGGGCGTTTATTTTAAGATGGCGATTTCTGATAATTCAATTCAATCTAATTCTATTGGTGCAATATAAAACATAACTAACATTATTTATGTCATTGTACTTTAGCTTTTTCCAGACAATTTCAATAATTTGCCAAATTTACATATAAACCGGCATCATGTTCAGAATGCTCGCAACTTTGAAATGCTTGTAAATATCTCTGTGGGAGTAAAGAAAGCAGTACATAAAACATTCAAAAGCTCTGTTTTAAAAATAAATTGCAAGAATATAGAATTTGATCTCATTCGACGGCACAATACACTTCAAATGATTTGTTATCTGATCGATGGAGGCAAAGATAGCTGCTTTCAACATATTGGACAGGGTTTTCAAAATTTTACAATGAACCTATTGCTTTAACTAATATTATCAGATTGGTATATAATACAGAATATTCAAGATACTCAAAAAGATACTGCTGATATAAGTAAGTATATAAATTTTCGATTATCCAGAATTCCAAAATTAAAAAGTATAAACTCTAAGGTAACATTATATTTCATTAATATATATAATTAGTAATTATCTAACACTAACAATAGATGATTTCTTAAAAAGGAAATAACTTGTCAAAGTTAATGTTTATACGTATCAGCATGGGACTAATGTTTTACTTATAATAGGTGAAGTTTCTTCACACATCTCTATTTAATAACATTCTTTTTTTTAACCTTCATATATTTATATAAGGATTAACTTTTTATGCTCTTAATATGGTTCTTCGATTTTGAACTATGGCCTTGGAATTTCAGTGACCAAAATTTTAATTCCTTATTGCAATAGGTACAAATATCACATCGCATGATGATAAAGTAAGAAACATCAAAACACGGAAACATCTATCAAAAAGCGAAATTTATCAACTTTCGCTACCTGTAAAATTCGATGACAATCTTCAGTTTACTTATGACATCATAAGCACATATGATAATTATATGGAAAAAAAAGCAGCTTTAATATATAGGCGTGTAGAATTTTACAAGCAAATAAGTTACACTTTATTAAACGATGATGGCACATTCGATACGTATATAAATTTGCATTCTGGTGATATTGTACAAATTCAAGAAGAAACTGGGTTGTCTTATGCTATACTAAAGGAGATATTTACGCATAGATATAATGATAGTTTAGTATATTCATTTATTTGGGTTGACTGGTTGCAGGAATGCTCTATACTTGATCCAATTCTTCAATGTCCAGTTTACAAAAAACAAACAGCTAAAAATACAAGGTAGTACCAAGTTTACCCAATAAGCCTTATAGACAATTTATCGAATGTTCATTTTGTACACTGTTGTCATTCTATATATACTTCAACTTCACATAATTCTTCAAATAATCAATACGTTAGAAATAAATTTTATTATGAAGCAATTTAAAAAAATTTAAGTTTTAATATTGTTTTTTTTTTTTTATTTGGAGATTTTATTTATTAATTTCATTTATTGTTCTTGTACAATTTAATTCTTAGTCAAATATGCTACTACGCTAATTAAGTGATATATTTTTATATTGTATTACGAACTAATTGGTGAGTAAAATTTCTAAACTCAATTTTGTAAAGCATAACAATTAATGATTGTAACCTTCAACGATTCCAACATTTAGGACAATACATTTTATATATCTATATTACTTTTCGGTTGATATCTTCTATTTCACTATCTGATCTAGTTCAATTTCATCGAGGTTCACTATACTTCACTATATGTAGATAAATGAATCCCAATATCTGTATCGTTATTTTATTATTCCTTATCTCACAATAGGATTTTATCATCTTTGTGTATTTCGCAATTACAGAATTATTATTAAAATCCAGACCAGACTCATATTCAACCTTTGAATAATTCCATGTGTTTAGTTCCATCCTACTTAATCCATTAATTTGTTATCACTTTTTTCATAATAATTTCTTCATCAGTTCCGTGTATTTACCGGTAATAATATCGATCGCTCAGTTTTTTTCATGAATATTTACTATTTAATTTGTTCACATTAATTTAATACGTGAGTATAAATAACTTTTATTAAGTATTTAAAATAATTAATATTTACTATTAATTTTATTC